TCTCGAAAACTAAATGAAAAATAATAAAAAAATTCTTTACCAAACCCTCAAGTTGGTTTGACAAGGCTAACACCTTACATATTACATCAAAAATCGGGAACACACTGCCCGACTGAGAAATAATTAAACAAAAATAAAAGACCGAAGACCGGATACCGAATTATCCGACCAGGTCCACATAAAGAAAAACAATCACAAATTAAACAAAAAATCGCGTCGTCTTAATACGACAGAATCGCGAATCCGGTAACAATTCCGGGGGCTCGAGTGCCCACACAAATCCATATCATTATTACAATTACCAAAGCAATTCATTAAACGCTTCGCGTAACACGCAAAAACGCGAAAGACAGGTAACAAATTGCCCGACTAGGCCATCGAGGCCTCATTCAAAATTCCAGAAAAATTGACTATCCACGTCATTGGCTCCACGGGTCCCAAAGTACCCGGCCAACATTGATTACGGCTAACATTGATTACGGCCAAAATTAATTATACATGCGACTTCAGAACAGTTCTATTCAAAACATGCCCTAAAGTCGGGGGCCTACTGTTGATACCAAATTTTGGCCTAGCCTATTATAATATTACACGTGGATATGTATTATATCGATTATTTTATTTTTGGGCCTTAAATAAATACCGCTTGTGATAATATCGGGCTCATTAAATAGATATATATATATATATATCCCCAATGATGGACACAGACAGATAAGTCTTAGGGGCGCCTGTATTATTTTCTGATCTGATTTTCTCTCTCTTGCACCGCTTAAGAGAGGAGAGTTTTATCTTCATCTTCTTCAATATTTTCTTGGTTCAAATACACAAGAACATACCAAAAATATATATCAAAAAATACACAATAAATTCCTCTGAACCCCCCCATGTTGATCAAATTTCGAGCATCAACAACATGAATGCTCATCAAGAAACCACCTCCCCAAACTTAGAGTTTGCATATATCATAGACACTGAAATAAACACAAAAGAATAAAAATGGAGGTAAAAGAAACGAGTTCACCTTAGTCAATGAGCAGAAAGTGACCGAATCACGCACACTATTGGGTTGCCTCCCAACAAGCGCCTTTTTTTATTGTCGTTGGCCCGACTTATTGCTCCTTTCATCATAGGATCCATGGCGGCTTCGGAGGTGGCCTCAAGGGAGCCACAAATCTCACGGCACCATGTTTGATGACACCCTCTATCCTCGGTTTTGGGTGTTTCACCGGATCTTTTCTCCATTGAGTTGATTCCTCAAAGATATGTAGCAGCCCGCACTCGATCACGGTCACCGCCTCAACAAAATCCCATTCACACCTTTTGTTTTGCTCGATCGTCTCAAGAGAAGGTATATGAAGGCCCAAGACATGCTTCAGTGCAACCTTGCTCAGTACCCACTTCATATTAGAATACATAGGACACGGTTCAACTTCTATCGGCACAAGAGCGGGAAGAACGGTACGCTTTTTGGCTACAACAGGTCGAGTATGGGGTACCTCCGTATTCTGCTTCTGCAGCTTGGTTCTCTTTTTCGCTCTCATTCTTCTCGATATTCGTGATTTTCTGGTTCTCCGGCTCGTTTGTGCACTCTTCAAGTTCCTCGAGGTCCTCGCTGTACGAATGGATGACGCTCGAACTCATTGGACTCGTTTCCAGCCGATACACTAGTCGGTCCATTTGTTCCGTCAATTGGCCAATTTGGCCTTGTAAATTTTTGATGCGCAGTCCATGGATCTTGATGCTCGCATCTTGGTTCTTGATGCTCGCCTCAACACTTTGCTGAAAGTTAAGAGTGTTAGCCGTCAACTCCTTCATCATCTCCTCGAGCGACAGACCAGGATCTCTCTCAACTAATGGCTCAGGGTGTTCTTTCAGAAATCTAAACGTGTGAGCCTCTAGTGCCTTCACCATATCCTCTAGCGATGGGCTGAGATCTCGCGCAATTGGTGGCTCGGAGTACCCATAGAAAGAGTTTGAGTGCTCTCTCAAGCTGTACTCGTTCTCCTCGGAATACATGTAGTCTTGCTCGTATCTTCGCCAACCACTTGGTCCTCTTACGCCTCAATCTCCAATCCACGGGCCTCGTATCTCCCTCTCATACTGGTAAGGTGCACGGTGGAAATAAAAATCGTGATAATAGGCTGCCATTTTGAAAAATTGCTCAAAGCTCGCAAAAAATCGCCCAAAAATTAGTCAATCCCGCGAGTATGGGGGCGAACTATTCTGTCCAGCAGAGTATGGAGGCGCCCAATATTCTGCAAGAAAACAAAAACAAAGAAAAATAGAGGGGTAAAGGATGATAAAAATAAAATTCTAAAAAAAATAAATAAAATAATTCAATTAGTACTCAAAAATCACAATTCAATAACGCCACTCCCCGGCAACGGCGCCAAAATTTGACCGCGCGTCGCGACACGATCAAAATATAATATTTATATTTTCCTTAACCAACCTCTATTAACTAGTAGTAGTGGCGAGTAAGGGTCGATCCCACAAGGAGTGTGAATCAAATCGTGAATTTCTCGTATTAATTGAATATATAAAAAGCAATAAAACAGGGGGGGATTTTTGACTTAATCACTAAGATCCTAATTAAATAAGTAAAATCTAAACAATGAAATAAAATAAAATAAAAATAAAATCTAGTTCACGGTTCCGTCTACACCCTCAACCAACTCGTCTAATCAACTTTGGTATCAAATCTCACTATCTTATGAAATTACTAGCCCTAAGTAACGACACAGTCTGTTACCCAAATTTTTCCTTATTTTTAATTTAACCGCGAGACGCTCTACGATTAAACCTGACTTCTTGTACAGTCTAGAAAAACGTTTTCAAGATTTAATACAATTAGCCGCTTTATGAATTAGAGAAATAGGCTAGACTAAGTAGTGAACGCAACCGCGTTCACTCACTTAAATAGGCCGTGCTATCCCCGGTAGTTACCGTCTTCCGGTAGCCTCTAATGAACTAAACACATCAACAATTACGAATTGAAGGTCTAATTCAACTGTAGATATGAAAAGCCTAATCTAGGTGATCAATCTAAATAAGACTCAACACATCATGGTTAATTATTCAAAATAACACAAACAATTCCAAAAAGATAACTCAATAATCAACCACGAAAATTAATCAAACATCATCAAGTCGTAAGGTTCGACATCCCCGGAACTAGAAAGAAAATTAGCCTAACATAATAAATAATAAAAGAAAAAGAATAAGAATATCCCCTTTCGCGTGCAAGTGCGGCTTCCCTCTGCGTATTGATTCGGCTTCCTTGTATCTGTACTCTGTACGCTGCTCTCCTTTTCTGTGCGTATGGTCTGCTTGCCTGAATAATGTATGTGTGGCGGCTCAAAAAAATTCTTTTTCCCAGGCTTGCGTAACTCCCTTTTATTTGGCTCACTAAATTGATATAAGCAAGTGGGCCTGCTTGCACTTTCATTTAATTCCTTTTCCCCATTAACTATATGGCTTTTGATTTAGCTTAAACAATTGGGCCCAAATTTAACCTCAACTCTAGTTGGTATCCCATACTAGACTACTCAATTCTCGTTCGGTGCAATGCCGCCAATAGAAATCCTCCAATATCCTAAAAATAAGACGTAAATATATCATAATACTTAAATTCATCGAATAAATAAATAAGTCAAAAAATATATAAGTGCGACAAAACTAAGCATATATAAATACGCTAATAAAAACATAAAATACACACTTTTTTCGATCAATCAAGCAGTATGCGCCCCTAGGCATGCTCCAAAAGAAAGCATTTGAGGTTTTCGAAAAGCGGGGGGACACGAAAATTTTCTCCCAACCGAACCCCATTCTGAGGACGAGAGGGTATGTCCCTTCGCGAGATGATGCATATTGTAGATATAATAGGGATTTTGGTCCTTTGACAAAAAATTATAAGGAGATAAAATATGAGATTGAGCGGCTCATCCGAGCTGGGCATCTCAAAGAGTTTGTGCTAAATGACTAAGAAAAAATAGATGATCAAGAGACTATGGGAAAATGTAACAACCAGACGATCGAGAGGATCGATCGCCTAAGAGTGGCGAAATTCAGATGTTCACGAGAGGTCCCACTGGGGACTCCCACAATGAAAGGAAAAGGGCGTATCGCGGTAAGGAAATCACCAAGGAGGTCACAAAAATCCAGCATCTTGAGGTAACACTTAAGTTCGAAGTGGAAGACGTGAAGGGTATCTCTACCTCACAAAACGTTTTCTTAGTCATCACTACGAAGTCACAAGCTAAGACGTGTAGAGGGTATTCATTGACACAGATAGCTCGGTCGATATCATATTCTTACAGTGTCCAAATCAGACTGACTTAGATGTGAAGATCGAGCCAGTACATACAGCCCTCTACAGGTTTAACGGTAATGAGGTCATGTTGATAGATGAGGTGCGTTTGTCTGTGGTGTTGGGAATGCAACCCCTAAGAAAGGTCAAGTGTTAGGGTATACTGTAAAAGTTCGGTTTCAGTTTCTGGCAATAACTTTTTGAATGAGAATTGTGTTTTGGTCAAGTATGTGTGTTTGCAGTTTATTTATTTATGCGAGCATATGTTCCCTTATTTTACATTGTAGATAATATGGTTCGATGCGTCGAATAGAAAGATCATATTATCGGTTCCTTGTAAATATAAATAATTAATTCACAGTTCCTTGTAAGATCATATTATCGGTTCATTTATGCTCTTCTCACCTCGAGTTCTCCACAACCGCCTGCCAAACTTACATCAAACATATCTCTTCATAACTGACACACACAATCACCTCTTCTTTATAGCTTTCCTTTATTGCCCAATCTCTCATTCACTTTTCAAAATTCAAACCTGAAATAATTGTATTCTTTCGCATCTCTATTATCAACCCATGGCCAGTGACGAACCTTCCAAGCGATATGGTCCTCATACTAAAGAAAAGGCCAATAAGGTAAGGTATGACCCACGTTTAGTCACACCTCCACCATTCTCTCTCCAGAGATGACAACCTCCAATGTGCCCTTGGTTGTCGTCCCTTTATCTACAGCGCCACTCTTACCATGTTCAATTAAGTCGACCACATCTATTGGTATTGTTCCACCATTGTCCTCATTAGAGACTCGCTCTCACACATCTACATCGCCTTCTGTCGCCCCACTAGTGCCTGTGTCCGCTCCACCTTCGGCTTCGGCTAAGGGGGAGACTTTCGGTGCTCATAGGTCGACAAGCAAGGGAAATAAACGTCTCTGAAGGCCGACGATGAACAAGATACTGCAGCCAAATCCTCTACATCAGACTCCTTTCCTGCAGCTACTCAGTCGGATGTTCCGACATCCGTCGAGATCAATTCCGACCAAGAGACTCCTCTGGCTTCTACTCGTCCAGTCCGTCGCTCCATCCGCCGCAAGGGGAAAGAACCAGCTATTGATGACGTCCCCTTTGAGGCAGAAGATGATGAGTATGACTTTCCCTTGGCGTACCCCAATCGGTTTTATACTGAAGCAGCTCAGGTTCATTTCGAAGATCTTGCGAACTATGAATTTCGTTCTGCCCGAGAATTAGGTGATAAAAAGTTTTTTGAACTTGGTATTGAGGCTTTGATTGAAACTGTTAGTCTTGAACTCTATGTCTCTAGTGTTGTTCCTTTTAGCTCTGACATTTTGCTTGAATTTTATGCCAACTTGACCCCGTCAGTCTTTGAACGCAACAACCTTCACTATCTTAAGGTCTTTGGTAGGAATAGGGTTGTTAATATTAGTTCTTCCTTGCTGAATGAACACCTTGGTGTTCCTCATGTTGATGTTGTCTCTAATGTCGATTTGGATGTGCTTACCTCTGTTTTGTCGGTCAACCGCTTTGATAAGTGGCCTGGGTCCAATATGCCTGTTAGCTCTCTGAATCTCCATGCCAATCTCTTGCATAAGATTGGAGCCTGCAACTGGACCCCCATAATGAACAAACATCAACTTACTGAGAAGCAATCCAAGGTGATTTATTGGGTCATGATTGGTTCTCTGATTAATTTAGGTGCTCTCGTTGTTGATACCCAGTGTTCATTCCTGTTGAATACGACCCCTTGTTGTACCCTTCCTTTTCTCTGCATGTTATGGTCCTATTTGAGCTTTGTCGGTGTGATTGTTTCTCCACGTCTTGGGGATCATTAGGTTCATCCAGTCGTCCTCTCACAGTGAGTGTTAACACACTCAATGAACATAATGCCTCCAAGACCAAGATAGAGGTTGAGACTGTCAATGTTGATTCATGGGACGATTTCGTGGATCAGCAACTGAAGGCATGGGAGAGCATTGCGTGGGAAGTTGCTCTTCAACAAAGCTTCCTCTGGCACGTGCGCAAAACGCTCAAAGGCCGCCGTCATTCGCTTGGGATTAGCCCTTCGGCATCTAAGCGTTAAAAAAAAAAAAAGAAAAACGAGGGAATGAGAACGATGAAGATGATGCTGATTTGGATGACTCAGAGTCATGCTGCTGTTGTTGCTAGTTTTATGTTCTACTTTTGAGTGATTTAAGGAGTGCTGTAGTGAGGTCATGTTGTAAAGAACATCATTTTATTCTGGTTTTCTGTTGGTGTGGGCGATGATGAAAATGAACTGTTATTCTATTGTTTAGGATGTGTTTTTATTATTTGCAGGTTATGCTGAACATCCTAGAAGACATATATTCTGTTATGTTGTGTGATGTTCTAATCTTGTTGGATGAGATATAATCAATCCCTCATGTTCGAACATTGTTACCTGGATGCTTGTTGTTTTTTATGTTTATGTTGCATGTCATCTTCAAGATATATTTCTGAACTGAATGCCAAATGGGAGATTGTAAGATTTTATTTTAGGAAAGAAGTTCTGAAAATGTCATCTTGATGTTCTAACCAAGCTACGAGAATAAAAGGGAAGATCTACATTCTTTCTCTCTTTCTTTTGTTTAGGCTTAGATTATATTCTATTTAATATGGCAAGTTTCTATAATGCTATTGATATTTTGCAGCGCATTATGGTACGACTGAGACTGAGTTGGGCAGGAGCAAGCGGTTGGATTGGCCTGACTCTTCCAGACCAAAGATACTCGGCGAGATCTTCGATTCAAAGGAAAAGGAAGCTAATCGAGGCAAAATGGAATAAGAAGATCTCGGCTTCCATATAGGAAGATCTCGACCTTAGTTGAAATTTAAAAGAAGGAAGAAAATCCACTCCAAAAGAAAGGAAACTTGAAGTCTACTTACTTTGAGGAGATTGTATATATAACGTCTCAAATACTCAATTGATGGTTGGTGCATATATTGGAGTTTATCATATTTTGAAATCTGATTGAGTGTTTGTGAGATTTGTTTTTCGAGTTCTTTTGTAAATAAATTTTCAGTGTTCTTACACCACTAAATAACTGTGTTTTGTTTTCTTTACCTACAAACAATTTTCGTACTAGGGATTAAGTACTAGGATAGCTAGGAGGGATTCTTAGCTAGTTTGAAGTGCACAAGGTTGTGGCCAGATGATTAGTTAATAGGTTCGGGTATAGTGTTAGCTAGACTACAAGGGAGTTCGAGTCTTGTAAGTAGGGTTGTAAACGAATCGAATCAAAGCGAATACTTAGAGATTCGATTCGGATTCGTTAAAATATTCGAAGATTCGAATTCGTATTCGATTCGTTAACGAACTCATTTTTTTATTCGTATTCGATTCGTTTAGAATATTCGAACATATTCGATTCGATTCGAAATTCGTTTTCAAAATAAATTATGATTAAAAAATAATAATTACAAAAAATAATTTTTATTTTTCATATATTTTTAGGAAAATTTGTTAATTTATGATGATTTTACTTTTTATGTCATAAAAATAGTAGGAATATAACAATATATATATATATATATATATATATACATATATATTATAAACAAAATGTATACTATATATAATTTATAAAATTTATATAATTATTGTTAACGAATCGAATATTCGAATTTCGAATCGAATATCTACAAATTCGAATTCGGATTCGTTTAACTTTCGAATATAAAACATTATTCGTATTCGAATATTTCGAATTCGAATCACGAATATCGAATTCGAATATCGAATCGAATCAAAAAAATTTGATTTGTTTACAAGCCTACTTGTAAGTCCAAGCTGTACTTTGTGCATACAAACCGAGCTATTAATGAAAGAACTTTGAGGAGTAGTGAGACGCTCCCCAAAGAGATTTTAAGTTAATTGCTTCCACTTTTTATTTTTGGTGTTCGAACACTATTTGCGTATTTAACTTCAGTCCCAATATCTGTTTCACCAAGGATTTGGTTTATATTGAGGGATGAAGAAGGATGACTTTCTTGATGGTTGTTAGAGCATCTCCAATGTTATAACTTTGAAAGACAATAATTTTTAACGCATGTCAATCAATGATTGTAATGTTAACCATGTAGGAATAATGTTAAAAGAGTAGAAATTTGAATCAAATTAGTATCTCCAATGCATCAATTTGATAAGAAGTTATATGTATAGGTGGACCAATTAAAATAATCATTAATACAAGAACAATAAAAAATTAAATCAAATATAAAGTGAATTGATTAGTCATCATGTTTAACATGGTGTTAGATATTAGAAAGTGTGTTCAACATTGTCAACATTAAATGCTATCCACCTCATCATGAAAGAGTTTATGACAAGATGCATTGGAGAATAAATTTGTAACAAACTTTCAAAAGTTGATGATATGGATGAATTTTTATAATGTCAAAAGTCATATTGGAGTGATTTAATGATGACATAGTGGATTATATTATATTGTACTGTATAATCTTTTAGATATTCTTTCTAGAAATAAAACGAAATTGATGAATAGATTAGCTTTTTCAGATTTTTGTCCATACCGCAACAATTGTAGTAATAATCTTTTCTTTTCCTATATAAAAGTTTATAAGTTTCATTTTTTAACGTGCAAAAAATAATCTTTGACAAAAATATTGCAATGATATAGATACAAAAGAAAAAACTTATATGCGTATATGTTGTTATGCCCATTCTAATCAGGAGCGAAACTGAAAAATTAATTGACAGGGGGCAAAATACATGGCAAAAAATTTGGGGGTGCAAAAAATAATTTAAGAGGGGACAAATTAAAATATTTAAGTATAATAGTAAAAAAAATAAAATTTGAGGTGGGACAATTGCCCCCCTAGATCAACATGTAGTTTCGCCCATGATTCTAATGTCCATCTTGATTAACCAATTAAAGTCATCTATATATATTGAAAGAGGATGGTAAATAAATTATTTGTGAAAAGTTGATAAAAAGCTTGGGTCAAACTATTTATTTCATGATATATACATGCAATGTTTTACAAGATCAACACTTACCGTAATTACTTGGTTTGTTGCGTTCACACTTAAAGAGTTGGTTAATTACGGTACCGCCCCTAGTGTGAACACTCGCAGTATGTAAGCAGCCTCGTCCTGCTCAATCGTAATTTACAGCCATATCAATATACACTGCATACTTATGAAACAATGACGTTATGATTTCTTGCGCAATGACTGTAAACAAGAGCCAATGACAATCGTTATCCCAAACAAAAAACGTTGTGTACAAAAAATTATTCAATAATTTATAAAAAAATTTTACCTTCTTTGCGATCCATTTATTTTTCTCACATATATATAAATTACATTAATTTTAATATTTCACATGTTAAACATTCCAAAAAAATATATCATCCCGTGCATTGCACGGGCTACGCGCTAGTTTGAAGAATATGAGGGACAAATTAATTAAGTTATATCGACGGAACACTAAAATTTTAAACCCTAAAAACGAGAAATACGTGAAACATCCCAAATGTCCAACAAAGTCGGTCCTCTTGATCTCAAATTCAATATGAATATTCCTCTTAATACGCGTCATCATATCACATACTCCCTCCTATTCATGATAAGTGTCGTTTTGGGAAGTTACACACTAATTAAGAATAATTTTTTTGCCAATAATAACCCTCATTAATGAAGATAGAGATGGATGTTTTAAAAAAAAGATGAAGAGAATATGAAAAAACGTAGTGTATTTATTAACTAAATGAGGGTAATAATGGAAAACTATGTACAAAAGATCCAAAACGACATTTATTTTGGTTAATAGTTGATAAAGCCAAAATGACATTTAAAAACAATAGGAGGTAGTACAAAACTGATATTTTTCACATTGGCTTCAGCCGTAGAAACGTGGATTCTTTCACATTGGTCTCATTACTTATGGCATGATTGGTATGATGGAATGAAATTTCATAGGATTGGAATGAATTGAAGAATGGAATGATTATGGGAATGAAATGAAACATATTTTGTCATTGATGTGTTTGGTATGCAGAAGGAATATGACTAGAATGGAATGACATTATCATTTTTTATTATAAAAATAAATAAAAGCTTTTTTTAAAAAATAATGTACTTTTAATAAATTATATATAAATGCTTTTTTAATCATATAAAAATAAAATAATATATTTTTAATAATATATATAAATAGAATAATATATTGTTTAATAATATAAAAATAATATATTTTTAATAATATATAAAAATAAAACAATATATTTTTAAATTATATATAAAAAATAATATATTCTTAAAAGTAATATATTTTTAATAATATATATTTTTTAATATTTTTCAATAATATATTTTTAATAATATATTTTTAAAAGTAATATATTTTTAATATATAAAAAATAATATATTTTTAATAATATATAAAAATAAAATAATATATTTTTAAATTATATATAAATGCTTTTTTTAGTTTTATTTTTATATAAGTATTTAATATATCTAATTAAACAATAAATAAAAGTAAGTTTTCAATTTTTTTATTTGAATTTTTGTTTAAATAATTTTATTTAATATATTTTAATCATGATTTATAATATATATTATATATTTATATTTTATAATTATTTGTTAATTTTATTTTTTAAAATTTGATTCCTGCACACATGGGAATGAAAAAACCTTCCCTTTACTATGGAATGGCTAATCCCATGGAGATGGATTTTGTCATTCTCATTGAAATGGTCATTCTTTCTAAAAAAATATACCAATAATGAGATAAGGAATGAGTAAGGAATGATCATTCTATTCTCATGTCATTCCTTCCTACCAATTATGCCAATAGTGTAGTAGATGAAATTATTGTTTCCTGGAAAAGAATTTTACATAAATAAGTTTTCTCCAATCAACCAAAAGTACCCACCTACATAGAGGCACAGCCCGCCGCCATCCGAAATCAGCAAGCTATTCATCATAAGGTCTAACTAAAAAAATCATGGTCAGATCTAAATATGGGAACTGGGGCCCACAACCCTAACGAACGGCCAAGGCCGAATCCCCAGCATCAACGGTCTCGATTGGACATCGTCAGAGTACAATCGCCACACGTTTGTTTGTACAACCAACTCTTGGGTTACAGATCCCTTCTTTTCTATTTCCTCTCATCACCACCAAATTCCCCTTTCTCTTTCTAGCCTGGTTTGTCGGACCAGCTCTCGCGAGGGCTCAAGAGCTTCGGAAGAGAGAGAAAGAGATTGGACAATGAACGGCGGAGATTTGAACCAGCAACAGCAGCAGCAGCAGCAACAGTTGCAGCAGCAGCAGCAATGGGCGGCGATGCAGCAGTATCAGCAGCAATGGATGGCGATGCAGTACCCGGCGGTGGTGATGCATCAGAACATGATGTACAACCAGCATTACGTGCCGTACTACCCCCACCACCAGCATCAATTCCCTCAGCCCAGGCAGAGCAATCAGATTCAGAGTTCGGGGGAGGATAACAAGACCATCTGGATCGGAGATCTCCTGCCCTGGATGGATGAAGCTTATCTCAACTCTTGTTTTTCTCAAACTGGAGAGGTATGAACTTCTTTGCTGCTTATTTCTTTTATATTCATTCGGAATGTGTAATATTGTTTTTTGATGATTCAATTGCTTGCATTAGTATTCGGATTTGGAACGTGAAATATTGTTTCTGTGTATTTGGATGCTGTGTAATGAGCTATCACGCATTACTATTTGTTGAATTCTGTATTCGGAATTATACCCTGGGACACGTTTATTGTAGAGATTGATTGATATTCGTGCTTAATTTTTTCTTATTCTTTTTAAACGACGAGCGTGAAGTTTTGGATCTCGCATCTAACATTTTATTTTCAATTTCTCTTAACTGTTAGCGTTTCAGATCTACAAGCGTAAAACTTATATTTCACTGTTTTATCATATGGATCACAAATAAACAATGCTTATAGACAGAAAAATTTAAATCAATGAATCTCATCAAGCTTTTACTTACAATCTACTCAATCTTTGGTAATAAGATCCTAAGTTTTAAATATTACATTGCTGGAACAAAATAAATGTACCGAATACCTATTTATGGTCAAAGAGTTTACAGTAGGCCACTACTAGAAAAAGTGGCATCTGCAAAGGCCTCAATATTGTTGTAGGTAACTTTTTTTGGAATGCAAGTCATTGCCAAAACACAGAAAAAAAGAACTTTATTTGCCATGATTTTTGTTGCTAATGTTTGTTTTCTAAAAACTATTGTTGT